CGGCCGCGCCACCCGCCAGAAGATCATCATCAAGCAGAGTGTGCCGGCCACCTGAGCAGCCCCCGCGCTCGGCGGCCTTCATGCCGAGGCCGCTCGGCCTCCCCGGGCGCGGGTTTGTTGCTTCTATTTATCTATTTTGTATGGTTTTTATGTGAAGAGGGGCCGCGTCGCAGCTGTCTAATAAAGCCGAGCTCTGTGCATGGGTCCTCTAGGCTCTAAGCAGCGCCTGCGCGGGGGGTGCCTATGGAAAACCAAGGGGTGCGCCCGCTTTTCCCGGATTCTGGAAGGAGCCGGGGTCGGTCCCGGTGCCGTGGCACGGTGGCAGCACCCGCTCCCTGCTGCTCCTTGGCTCCCGCGGGATCAAGCGTCACCCTGAACCCCCGAGCAGGAGGGGTAACGTCCCCCCGGTGGGGGCGGCTCCGTGGGGAGCAGCGGGAGGCTCCCGGCGCCGCGGGGCGGCCCCCCCGTCCCCGGCGGGGCCCCGCGGGGCGCTGGCCGGGCGCGATAGCGCCCAGGGGATATGTGATCTCGCCCCTCCCCGGCGCCGCGCCGAATAAAACGCTGAGCTCACGGGCGCGCGGCCGCTGGCCTGGCCGAGCCGCGGCGCCGCCCCGCGCAGCGCCGAGGTGGGGGACGCGCGGGGGGGGCGCTGGGGGGTGCTGCCATGGGCCCCCGCGGTGGTGGCTGTTTGGGGGGGCCCTGCGTGCGCCCCCTCCTTGCGGAGCGGCCCGCGGTGGCCTCGGGTGTCCCCAAGGAGGGGGGCGCAGGGGGCAGGGGGGTGTGGGGCACACGCTGCAGGGGACACGGGGGGCTCTGGGCTCCCAAAAGGTGCCCCCATGGGCTGCAGTGTGGGGGGGGACGCTCAGGTCCCCATGGGGCACCGTGCAGTCCAGCCTGGATTCCCCCCAGAGACAGGGGATGTTGGGGGGGGGGAGGGACTTTGGGGGGTGCCCCCAGCCTTGGGGACCCTCCTGTGATCTGCTCACCCCTCCCGGTTTCCCCCCCCTCCAGGCCCCCCCTGGGCGCCACCATGACGTCCTACCGGCAGGAGCTGGAGAAGTACCGGGACATCGACGAGGACAAGATCCTGCAGGAGCTCTCGGCCGAGGAGCTGGCGCAGCTCGACCTGGAGCTGCTCGAGATGGACCCCGAGGTGGGGCCCGTCCCTTGGCCGGAGCGGGGCAGCGAGGTGACCCCCACGTCGYGGTGACACCCACGGGTGCCCCCAGAACGTGATGCTGCCCGCGGGGCTACGGCAGCGCGACCAGACACACAAGAGCCCCACGGGGCCGCTGGACCGCGCGGCCCTGCTGCAGCACCTGGAGAAGCAGGCGCTGGAGGCCGGCGAGCGCGACGACCTGGTGCCCTTCACCGGCGAGAAGAGAGGTCTGGGGACACGAGGGACAGGGGGGACACGGGGGACAGGGGGGACGCGGGGGACACGGGGGACGCGGGGCGCCGGGCCCCGCGGTGCGGGTATATTTAGCTCGGCTCAGATGTCCCGGGTGAGCTGGGTCCCCGCCAGCCCCGGCCATGGCCACCGTGGCGGGCAGTGTCACCCCGGCGCGGGCGGGCAGCAATGTCACTGCTGCAGGTGGCACCGGGCGGCGTGGGGTGTCCCATGGTGGTGGCACGAGGCTGTGCGGGGTCATTGGGCAGCGTGGGATGGCACTGGGCACTCTGGGGTGTCCCACAGTGGTGGCACGAGGCTGTGCGGGTGTCATTGGGCAGTGTGGAGTCTCCCACGGTGGTGGCACGAGGCTGGGTGGGTGTCATTGGGCAGTGTGGGGTGTTATTGGGCACTCTGGGGTGTCCCATGGTGGTGGCATGAGGCTGTGCGGGGTCATTGGGCAGCGTGGGATGGCACTGGGTGCTCTGGGATGTCGCACAGTGGTGGCACGAGGCTGTGCGGGGTCATTGGGCAGTGTGGAGTCTCCCACGGTGGTGGCACGAGGCTGGGTGGGTGTCATTGGGCAGTGTGGGGTGTTATTGGGCACTCTGGGGTGTCCCATGGTGGTGGCACGAGGCTGTGCGGGGTCATTGGGCAGCGTGGGATGGCACTGGGCACTCTGGGGTGTCCCACAGTGGTGACACAAGGCTGTGCGGGGTCATTGGGCAGTGTGGAGTCTCCCACGGTGGTGGCACGAGGCTGGGTGGGTGTCATTGGGCAGTGTGGGGTGTTATTGGGCACTCTGGGGTGTCCCATGGTGGTGGCACGAGGCTGTGCGGGGTCATTGGGCAGCATGGGGTGGCACTGGGCACTCTGGGGTGTCCCATGGCGGTGGCACGAGGCCACCCGCCCAGGTGACCCCCCCGTGCCCAGGGAAGCCCTTCGTGCCCAAGGCGCCGGCGCAGGAGGTGCCGCGCGAGGAGCAGGTGACGCTGGAGCCCGAGCTGGAGGAGGCGCTGGCCAACGCCACCGAGGCCGAGATGTGTGACATCGCAGGTGGGCCCTGGGGACAGTGGGGCCCTCTGGACCACAACTGGGACCTTTGGGGACAACTGGGGCCCTCCAAGTCACCACCGGGGACCCTGGGGACAATTGGGGCCCTCCGAGCCACGACTGGGACCCTGGGCACCGCCGGGGATCCCTGGGACACCCGTGGCCAGGCCGGGGCGGGTCCTGGGGACAACGGGGACAAGGGGTGGCAGCCGTGCCCGTCCCGCAGCCATCCTGGGCATGTACACGCTCATGAGCAACAAGCAGTACTACGACGCGCTCTGCAGCGGCACCATCTCCAACACGGAGGGCATCAACAGTGAGTGGGGGCAGCGCGGGGCGCGGGGTGTTGGGGGGCAGCGGGGGGGCCCCGCGGACGCCGCCGTCGCCCCCAGGTGTGGTGAAGCCGGACAAGTACAAGCCGGTGCCGGACGAGCCGCCCAACCCCACGGACGCGCAGGAGACGCTGCGGCGCATCCGGGCGGACGACGGCGCCCTGCAGGACGTCAACCTCAACAACATCAAGGTGCGCGCGGGGGGCGCCCCGGGGGCCCTGCCCATCCGCGGGCGGCCGCGGAGGGGCCCCCGCTGTCCCCAGGCTGTTCCAGCCCCGCGGCCTCCCTGCTGTCCTGCTCCCCCGCGGTGACACGGCCACGGGGTGGTCCTTGGAGGGCCTCTTGTGTCCCCATGGGGCAGCTCCGTGTCCCCAGGGCACAGGGAGCAGCCTCTGGGTGTCCCTCGGACACCCCTCCCCAGGCGGGGGTGGCCCTGGGGTGGCCCCAGGACGCTGCTCTCCCCTTTAGGGTCCCCCAAGGTGGCAGCTGCCACCCTGGAGGCTCCTCAAGGGGCTGCTCCCTGTCTCCAGGCCATGGGACATCCCATGGAGCAGCCACCCAGGGCCAGTTTTCCTGGGGGCAACTGCTTCCCTTGGCCCAAACCTGCTTGCCCGCTCCTCCATCCTCATCCTYGGGGACACCTGTATCCCCTTGGGACCTCCTGCGTGTCCTCGGGAACGTCCCCTGGGGGCCACGGCCGTGGCCTCGGTGACGCCGCCGTGCTCCCGCGCCAGGACATTCCCATCTCCACRCTGAAGGACATCTGCGAGGCCATGAAAACCAACACGCACGTGAGGAAGCTCAGCCTGGTGGCAACCCGCAGCAACGACCCTGTGGCCACCGTGAGTGCAGGCTCTCCTCCGCCGTGTCCCCAAACGCGTCCCCCTCCACCAGCTCCGCGCTGGCCGCCCATGGGACACTCCTGTCCCCAGGGATGGGGAGGTGGCACCCCGAGGTGGCCCCCCAAAGTGACCCGCGGCCCTCGCAGGCCGTGGCCGAGATGCTCATGGAGAACAAGACCCTGCAGAGCCTCAACATCGAGTCCAACTTCATCACCAGCGCCGGCATGATGAGCATCATCAAGGCCATGTACAAGAACAGCACCCTCAGCGAGCTCAAGGTGGACAACCAGGTAGGGACGGGCACCCATGGGTGCTGCTCGGCGGCTCCCGTGGGCGCGGGGAGGGGTTGGGGGACCCCGGTTCACTGGTGTCCGCAGTGCCAGCGCCTCGGGGACACGGTGGAGATGGAGATGGCCACCATGCTGGAGCAGTGTCCCTCCGTGCTCCGCTTCGGCTACCACTTCACGCAGCAGGGCCCGCGGGCCCGGGCGGCCAGCGCCATCACCAGGAACAACGAGCTCCGTGAGTGCCCCGGCGCCCGGAACCGCCGCCGGGAGGGAAAACCGGGCAGCGGGAGGGAAAAACCGGGCAGCGGGAGGGAAAACCGGGGAGCGGGAGGGCATCCCCCTTGCCAACCCACGTCTCCTGCTGTGCTGCAGGTCGCAAGCAGAAGAAATCCTGAGCTTTCCGGACGCTCCGGGCGCTGGCACCGCGGTGGGAACAAGGCCGGGTTTCCGCTCCCACCGCGCGGAGCCTCCGGGAATAAAGAGCACGGAGCGGCTGGGGGTTCTGCTGGCGCCCGYGGGGAGCCCTGTGGCTGAGCTGGGGGGGGCAGCCTGGTTTTGGGGCCCCCCCGGCAGCCTCACGGGGGGACGGGYGCCCGTGACGCAGGCCCGGAGCTGCCAGGCTCCGCGCTCGGGTATTTATACCCGGGGATTGGGTTACAGGAGCCGGGTCGGGGGGGCACCGGGTGTCCCCGGGCACGGAGCCACTTGCCGGGGCTCGGGGGGGCCGCAGAGGTGCCGGGGGSGGGGAGAAGGGGGGACACGAGGATCCCGGGAGCGCCCTGGCACCCGGCCCACCTACTACAGCCAGGGGTAAATCCCAGTGTCCCGGTGAAACAGCAGCCCGGGCGGAGGTGCCGGGAGCGCGCGGGGCCGCCCGGGATCGGGGCGTGCGGCAGTGCATGGGGCACCTCAGGGTGCTGGGAAGGGTCAGCACCGGCCCCGGGGGGGCACCCACGGGAGCCAGGGGCTGGAGGGCGGCGCGGGGGGACAGGGAAGGTGTTTGCCAAGCGCCCGGGACAGCTGCGACAGGAGGAGGAGGAGGAGGAGGAGGAGGGAACACGGTGGCACCGTCCCCAAAGGGCACGACCCGCGGGCACCTGCCAGCGGGCAGAAACCAGAGCACGACTTGGGCCAGACGGAGCTGCCGCCCCGGCCGCGCTGTGCCCCGCCGCCAGGGCACCCCAACAACAGGCGGCACTGGGGGTCGCATTGTGACAAGAGCCCCCAACACCCCAAAATTCCTCCCCGCGCCGCTCACCAAAAGAAGCCACCACATCTGTGGGCTGGGTCTCTATTAACACGGAGCTTGTGGGGGGCTGGGGGCCGCGCCGGGGCCCGGCGGCAGCCCGGGGGGCTCGTCCTCGTCCGAGTCGAACTCGGCGTTCTCGTCCTTCACCCACTTGCCGGCGCCGTCCGGGATCCAGCCGGCGCTGAGGACACACGGCGGGGACGGTGACACGGGGCCACTGAAGGGGGGACCCCGCAACCGAGGGCCGCGCTCACCTGCGCAGCTGCAGGTACCGCTCCAGGGCCTGGCTCCTGGGGGTGCCGAGGGCCCCGCGCTGCCCCCCGGGCGCTTTCCCTTTGCTGCCGGTCCGGGCCGCGGCGCGGGAGCTGGCGGGGCGCGCGGGCGGGCTCGGCGTCGCCGC